CAAATTGGGATAGGGAAGGGTAGTCTTAGTATGAAGTTAATGGGGAAAATCACACGGAAGAGAGTTGGAAAGAGAAGGACTCCTTGTCCTTGATGGCATTGTTGAACCATTCTTGAGCCTCTGGACATAAATTTTGGCCACGCCTGTAATCGAAGCACTTTGGGGGGGCCGAGGCAGGAAGTCAAAGGCAGAAGATCATTTGAGCTCAAGAATCAGAGACCAGCCTGGGCAATACAGGGATACCCAACTCCACAAAAAAGATTTTTTAAAAATTAGCTATTGACAGGGCACAGTGGTTGATGCCTGTAATCTCAGAACTTTGGGAGGCCAAGGCAGGTGAATCACTTGAGGTCAGGAGTTTGAGACCAGCCTGGTCAACATGGTAAAACCCTGTCTCTACTAAAAATACACAAATTAGCTGGGCCTGGTGGCATGTGTCTGTAATCCCAGCTACAGCTAAGGCATGAGAATCGCTTGAACCCTAGAGGCGGAGGATGGAGTGAGCTGAGATCACGCCTACAGCCTGGGCAACAGAGCAAGGCCCTGTCTAGGAAAAAAAAAATCAGCTGGGTAGAGTGGCACACGCCTATGGTCACAGCTACTAGGAAGGCTGAGGTGGGAGAAACTTAAAGTATCACTTGAGCCCAGGAGGTTAAGGCTGCAGTGAGCTGTAATAACGCCACTGCACTCCAGCTTGGGTGATGAAGACCCTGTTTTTAAAAAAAATTTTTTTTAAATGACATCAAATTTGCTCATTAAGCCAGTTTGAGAATTTTCTGTTATCTGATGCGAAAGCATCATAAATGACCTAAGAGCTCAAAACTGAAGAGTGCTCACTTTAAAAATTTACCTGCACTCGGCGGGGCGTGGTGGCTCACATCTGTAATCCAAGCACTTTAAAGGCCACGGCGGCGGATCACCTCAGGTCCGGAGTTCAAGACCAGCCTGACCAATATGGTGAAACCCTCTTTTAAAAAATTTTTCTAAATTAAAAAAAAAAAATTTTTACCTGCACTCAGTCCTAGTTGACTTAAACTTTTCACAAACAAATTTTTAAAAAAACATTTAAGGTCCTGAAAGCCATAAGGTCCTGAAAGCCATAAATTCAGAAGAAAACAGTCCATTATCTCAATTACTAATAATGAAGTTCACAGCTTTATAAATTTTATAATCTTAGAGAAAATGAACAATACAGTACCTTTCTTCAACACCATATCTAAAATATCCTTTCAACAGGATGTTTTTTTCCAAGAAGTTGGCAAACTTTTTTCGTAAAGGGAAAGTGTGGATATTTCCCACCCCAAATCATAAACCTTTTTTTTCTTAAAGACATCATTTCTCACTGTCAGTTATATGCCATACACTAGAAAGAAGACAAAAAGTAAACCTTATCTTCAATCATTAATCAAGAAAATCTGTATATAAACAAATTTGCACATAGGCACACCTGAGAATGTAGGAAATTCTACTGTGTGCTTTTATTCAAATGAAAACATGACAATATTTTTTACTAAATGTTTAACACAAGTTAATAAGCACCCTTTCAATGTTTCTTACAATATAACCCTATTTCAACAAGATTTTAAAATCACAAATAAGGGACATAAAGTCTCTGTTTATCCCTGCATACCTACTGGCATTTTCTATAAACAAGGAATTGCCAACAGCAGTTACCTATGGAAAACAAGACTGGGAGAGGGGCTGGGGTGTTCTAGGGAGTAAGGAGGACTTTGACCTTTCCCTTTACATTTTTCTGGGTTTTTAAACTTTGCCATAAAATATATCACTTTTATAGTTCTTAAAACGGCTTAAACTATACATTCAACATAAATATTAAGAAATATACCAGGAACTTAAAGTAGGAAAAACGGAATTTCTCTACTATAGGCTAGAAATTGAGGAATTCTCTGGCGTTAGATTAGACACCTCTACCACCAAAGAATGAGCACACACCCTGGCTGCAGCAGTCAAGGAAGTTACCAGAACAGCCTTTAGATGGATCAGTAATGCCATGAGACTTAAAATAATCTTTTAATGGTGGAGTCCATAGCAACCCAATCCAGCTCCACTGAATCTTGTACCCCAGGGGTAGTATCAGTTAAGTACTGCCTGCCAGCTCGTGGTCTGCAGGAAAGTCCCTGCCACCCAAGAGTGACCTGCTTGACTTCCCAGATTCACAGCAGTAACATGAAATTGTATTTAGCTACACCTTACAGATAAACTCCGCTGGCACAGCTCAGTTTTCACAACCTTAATAAAACATATTTTTTAAATTCTGATCTACATGAAATATTGGTTAAAATCTGACCCCATTTTTAAACATTAATAGCATAAATTAAAATGCATTAAATTAAAAATGGATGAAAAAAACAAGACTCCCACCATCATTCACCGTTTCAGACTCTATTGTATCAGATCACACACAGTAGGTTAAAAGACTGAGAACGGCAAGTAAAATAAAAATTTCAACACTACAACAGCCTGTCCAAGATAAAAACTTAATAATAAAACCTAACTCCAGCTGGGTGCAGTGGTTCACACCAGTAATTCCAGCACTTTGGGAGGCCGAGGTGGGCGGATCACCTGGGGTCCAGGAGTTCCAGACCAGCCTGCCAACATGGCGAAACCCCGTCTCTACTAAAATATGCAAAAATTATCAGGACATAGTGAGTGGTGCACACCTGTAGTGCAATTCGGGAAGCTGAGGCACGAGAATCACTTGAACCCGGGAGGCGGAGGTTGCAGTGAGCCGAGATCGTACCACTGCACACCAGCCTGAGCAGAGAGAGACTCCATCTCAATAAAAGAAAAAAGAAAAAAAAAAAATCCAATTCTGCTCTTGGGAATGGTGAACCAATAAAAAACAACCCGTTTCTCATCCCTGAGACTACTGAGATTTCCAAAGGAGGGAAAGAACAGCAAAGTCCATCATTTCTTACCATTAAAAGAAAAATAATCAATTTGACTATTGATTTGGCTAAGTAATTATAATTTTTTTAAAAAAAGCGCTCAAAATATTTTCCCTACACCCAAATTAACGACATCTATTCTACAGCTACTTCTGAGTCTCTCCTACATACTCTTCACGTGTGGGGATACAGGAGTGAACAAAACATTGTATGTGATTCCTAAGGTCAAGAACTCAACGTTTTTTCAATGCCATAATCAAATTCCGTCTCACTTAAACAAAACTAATGCCAATGCCCATTCATTCCTCGCTAATAATATACCGACTGTTTATTCAATTCCATCATACATAAGAAAGTGACTAAGCCATGAAGCAAAGTCACTGCAGTCCTCTTTACAGCATACCATTAACTTCAAACGGCGTGTTTTACATGTTGCTGTATTTGAAGTATTAGTCCCTGGTAGATAAAGCACACTGGGGAAAGCAAATCCTGCAAATAAAAAACTGTAATCCTGAATATTAGTCTCCTTTCTCAAATCCAGTGTTGCTATTTTGTCAAATGGATCAAGCCATTATTTATCCGGCAACATGAACGGGGTAATTGTTCATTCTTAGCTCCATCAGTCATAGAAAAGAGTATTTAGTGTTCTAAAAAAAAAAAAAAAGAAAAAGAAAGAAAGAAAAAAGAAACAAAATGTATGCTCCGTAAACAATAGATTGCAATGTCTGTGTCATAGCAGTCGTTTATCAAATAAACTCTTATCATAGGCGTCTGCATTTACATCCTGCCAAGTCTTAGGGCCACAGGACTGCCATCGAGCTCCTCAGCAGCGTGTCTTCCACAAAAATCTCAACTGTATTTTAAAATAGATTGTTATGAAGTTGGCTTTTAACGCATTTCCTCTTTTCCTTTTTTTTTCACAACAGCATACTAGTAGGCTTTTAACACATTTCCAACCTCACTGATCATTACTCTTCAGGAAAAAAATACCTTGTTTCCTAGGATCTTAGTGGTAGAATTAAAAAAAGAAAGAAAAAAATACCAAATATCGGGAATGTTTGAAGAAACATGACATCTGTCTAGGAAATGATGTAGTCTGTTTAAACTGAAAAAAATAAAAAATAAAAAAAAAAAAAAGCACTGCCCCCTCTCAAAGTTCGTCCGAGAACTGAGTTTAGCATCGTGCAAAGGGAAACAGTGCTGTCAGGGTCTGAGCTTGTCTGCTGGGGTCTGAGACACTAGACTGAGCGGCCTCAAGGGCCACAGAAAGTTGCGCCGCGCCCCAAAGCCCGTCAAGCAACATCCCCTCTGCCACGGGGGCGGAACGCACGCTCTCTAGTAATTTAACACCCTTCCTTTCAAACTGGAGGCCGGGAGACAAGTTGGAATAAATGCAAAACCGAATTCTGCCCACGCTGACTATCTGGATTTTCAAACAACCCTCGGGGCCATGCCGGCCGGGGCCCGGGGCCCATTGGAGGCTCCCGGGAACCCACCGTCCCCGGGGCGCGGGGGGCCGACGCTGGAGGCTGACTCCGCGCCCAGGGGAGAGGAGAATCGCGCGGCGGCGAGGGGCGACTTCGACCCGGCCGGGCACGTTCGGGCCGCGGCTCCACCAAGACTCGGGCAGGGCCTCGCGGTCCCCGCCAGCCCCGGGAGGAGCCTGGCCGGCCGGGCCGTGACCACGGTGGCGCCTAGGCCGGCGGGACGAGAGCGGAGGCGCGCCAGGCCCTGGTGACGGCGCCACGGCCGGGCAGCGCGGGCCCCGCAACTTCTCGCCGCCACCTCAGCGTCTCCGGAGGAACCGGGAGCGGGGAGTGGGGGAAGGGAGGGCGCCGCGGCTTACCCGGAGAGCGAGCGGCTCCTGCCCGCGGGCGTGTGGCCGGGGCGCTGCGCGGCGGCGCGGCTGCGGTGGGGAGGGAGAGGCAGTGGTGCGAGCGCTGGGCCGCGGGAGACTAGAGGCGCCGCCGCCGCAGACAGCTCCGCAATATGGCCGCCCTGCACCTCCTCGGGGAAAAGGCGGGGCTGCCCGGCGCCCCCCGCCTCCCCCCGCCGGCCGGCCGGCCTCGCGCCGCGGCCCGAGCACCAACGCCGCCGCCTGGGGCCGCCCGCGCCCCGCCCCGCCCCGCCCCTCCCGCGGGCTCGCGGCCGTAGGCCTGGTTCCGGGCGTGGCTGGGGGTCGCGGTCCCCGGCCGGCCCACGCGAGGGAGGCGGCTGCGTGTCCGAGAGTCCCCGGGGAAATAAGGCGAACCCGCAGCAGGGTCGAGCCCTTGCCGACAGCGCCGGGCTCGGGCGAAGCCTGCGGTCGAGGGAAGCGGAGCCGCCCAGCCCGAAGCTCGGAGTGCGCCCGCCGCCTCCCCCGTGAGAGGAAACTTGAAACTCCCGCTGGTGCCAGCAAAACTCACTGAGGGCGTTGCCGTCGCCCCCGGAGGAGAAATGCTTCCCAGAGGGAGCCGGGGACCAAATGGAGCGTGAGACCTGGCTGTTAGGACCGAAAAGGGCCTACCTGAGCGGAATTGAGATTTGCCACAAAGAACGTTTTCATTATTCGGGCAGGTTTCAGCCAACTAGAAAAACTTAATTTTTCAGCGACAATTTTTAAACTTCACCAAAACCTCAAAGGATATGGCCGCAAATCAGGAGTGCAAATTTTAATCCAACCAAGGATGTGCGGTAATTTTTTGTATTTTAATTTCCCAGATCCCTGTTCTTTAGTGTGATAATTTTTCATTACCAACGGCAATGTCGCCTTGGCAGTTGGAAGGAGCGGGTTAGCAAGAAAAAGTTGGAAGTGGGGCCCCAAAGAGCCGCCAAACCTACATAATTCCAGACTTAGGGAAAGTCAGCCATTCGGTCTCAGACTAAGTCTAGCCCACTCACTTTAGTCAGTGGCTGGGATGAGACAGGAGGCTCCTGACTTCGGGATCAGTCTTCTGTCGTCTAATCCATGCTGACGCCCCTCAGTATTGTCCGCCGGGATGATTCGGGGAGCAAAGCTTGTGATGAATATACAAACAGCAAGTGTACAAAATCGGATTCGCCTGCCTTGCCCTGCCTGCAGTACTTATTTAGCTTATCTTTTGTGAACCAAGTTTAGATTCAAATAACAAAACTCCTGAGTGTACTTACTTTATAGAGCAAATAATTCCTATACTCCTGCCTTAGCATTTACCTTCGGTGAGAGTAGCTTTTCCAGGAAATAGCTGCAAATCACTTTCACTAGGCTGCCTATTCAGTGAGTTTCCACTATTGCCCTTTGAGACCTCTCTGAACAATTAAAAGCCCCCAAGAGACTCAAGGGTTAAACTCGAGGGCGTGTAGATAGCAAATTCCTCAAGGATGGGAACCAGGTGTGTGCTTTGTAACCAAATAGGTTTTTGTGGTTCTTAGACACCACCATAAGATCACTCCCTTATCTTCTCCCTGGGGTGCAAGAATTATCTTGGTTATTGTTCAGCCTACCACATCAGATTGCAAGCATAGTCAAAGTATTATGTAATACTTCCCATGAAGTAGGTAAGAAAAAAAAGTATTATGTAAATTCCTGCATAGTACACGAATCAAAGGAAACTATATAACACACTTTTGCAACTGAAAGTGAAGGATTCACTGTCATTGGTCATGTGCCAGACACTGGTGTGAAATTTTTTATATGACTGTCTATTTGAATCCTTACAACAACTCTCTGGGGTGAATACTATTACTGACCCTTTTAAAAAACAGTGGATAAACAAAGACAGTTTAAAAAGAGTTAAGTAATTTCCCCAATGTAACAAGGCTAGAAAGTGGCAGAGCAGCGACCAAACCCAAATATACATTTGACTCCAAAAGCTTTGATTTTATGCTATCCTCTGCAAGAGCAAACAGACCAAAAATTGCAACATTTTAATTGGGTATCATATTAGTAAATATTTAAGTAAAAGATAACATTCAAGGCTGGTGAGATAAAAAGGGTACTCTCAGACATTGTGAGTGGGAGTGTAAACTGAAATAATCTCTTTATAAAGCTGTTTGGCACTGTGATTCGACCCATAAGAATGTTCATGGCCGGGCAGTGGCTCACACCTGTAATCCCAACACTTTGGGAGGCAGAAGCAGATCATAAATCAGGAGATAGAGACCATCCTGGCCAACATGGTTAAACCCTGTCTTTACTAAAAGTACAAAAATTAGCTGGGTGTGGTGGCATGCGCCTGTAATCCCAGCTAGCCGAGATCGTGCCACTGCACTCCTGCCTGGCACCTGGCAACAGAGCAAGACTCCTTCTCAAAAAAGAAAAAAAAGTTCATAACTGGCCAGTGCTGAGGCTCACGAGAGTAATCCCAACATTTTGGGAGGCTGGGGCGGTAAGGTCTCTTGAGCCCAGGATTTTTGAAACCAGCCTGATCAAAATAGTGAAACCCCATCTCTACAAAAAATTATAAAAATTAACCAGGCATACTGGCACATACCTGTAGTCCTAGCTACTCAGGACGCTCAGGAGTCAGAAGAATTCCTTGAACCCAAAAGTTTGAGGCTGCAGTAAGCTATGATTGTCAGAGGCATTGACCCCAGAGAGACTCCATCTTGAATAGGGGCTGGGTAAAGTAAGGCTGAGACCTGATGGGCTGCATTCCCAGAAGGTTAGGCATTGTAAGGTGCAGGATGAGATAAGAGGTTGGTGCAAGATACAGGTTCTAAAGACCTTGCTGGTAAAACAAGTTGTAGTAAAGAAGCCGGCCAAAATCTACCAAAACCAAGATGGCACTAAGAGTGCTTCTAGCCCTTCCCACAGCTCATGATATGCTAATTAAAACATTAGCATGCTAAAAGACACTCTCACCAGCACCAGGACAATTTACAGATGCCATGACAACATCAGGAAGCTACCCTATATAGTTTAAAAGAGGGAGGAACACTCAGTTCCGGGAATTGCCCACCCCCTTCCCAGAAAACTCATGAATAATCCATGAATAACCCAACCCTCGTTTAGCGTATTATCAATAAATAACTATAGATATTCTTAGTTCAGCAGCCCAAGCTGCTGCTCTACGCCATTCTTTTATTTCTTTACCTTTATTTTTCTTTCTTTCCTTTTTTTAAGAGACTCACTCTGTTGCCAGGTTGGAGTGCTGTGGTCCGATCTCAGCTCACTGCAACCTCCACCTCGTGGGCTCAAGAGCTCAATTCTCCTGTCTCAGCCTCCCAAGTAGCTGGGATTATAGGCATCTGAGACCATGCCCACCTAAATTTTTTTTCATTTTTAATAGAGACTAAAAATAAAAAAAAAAATTGTATGTGGTTTTACCATGTTGTCCAGACTGGTGTAATTCCCGACCTCAGGTCATCCATCCACCTCAAGCCTCCCAGAGTGCTAGGATTATAGGCATGAGCCACCACCATCCCCTTCCAATTCCTTACTTTTCTAATAAACTTGCTTTCACTTTATGGATTCACCTTGAATTCTTTCTTGCATGAGATCCAAGAACCCTCTCTTGGGATCTGGATCGGGACTTTTTTCCAGTAACATGATAGCACCACTGCACTCCAGCCTGGGCAAAAGAGTGAGACCCTGTTTCAAAAGAAAGAATGTTTATACTTCTTGGAACCTTAATCACATATCTGAGATTCTTTCTGACGGAAATAATCTGAAATAGATCAAAAGCTTTATTCACAAATGCACAATATTATTTATAAAATGCAAAAATTAAAAACATGAAAACTGTCTGGGTATGGTGGCTCACACCTATAATCCTAGCACTTTGGGAGGTAGGAGGATTGCTCAAGCCCAGGAGTTCAAGACCAGCCTGGGCAACATAGTGAGACCCCATCTCTAAAAAAAAAAAAAAATTGTCCAAACATGGTGGCATACACCTGTGGTCCAAGCCACCTGAGAGACTGAAGTGGAAGGATTGCTTAAGCCCAGTAAGTCAAGGCTGCAGTGAGCCATGATCAGGCCACTGCACTCAAGCCTGGACAACAGAGAAAGACTCCAAAAAGACCAAAAACAAAACAAAACAAAACCTTCTTTTCTATTCTTTTTTTTTTTTTTTTGATACATAGTCTTGCTCTGTTGCCTAGGCTGGAGTGTAGTGGCATGATTTCTGCTCACTACAACCTCTGCCTCCCAGTTCAAGCAATTCTGCCTTAGCTGGGACCACAGGTGTGCACCACCACACGGCTAATTTTTTGTGTTTTTAGTAGACACAGTGTTTCACCATATTGGCCAGGCTGGTCTGGAACTCCTGACCTCATGATCTACCCACCTTGGCCTCCTAATATGTGGAGATTACAGGTGTGAGCCACTGCACCCAGCCCCAAAACCTACTAAGTTGAGTTTTACTACAACATGGATTGCCCATTACACAAAAGCAGTAAGGCTACTCTTTCCTGAGAATAACTGTGCTAAGTTGAGCTGACAGAATTTTATGGTCAGGGGTCAGGTTTACTATTGATTGTAGTATCTATACAATATGCAGAAACAGTTTTGTTTCTTACATCAGATACATGAATTTTTAAATGAAATATTAGATATTTAATTGACAATTTTCTTTCTTTTTTTTATTCCAACACCTCAGATTTCAAGGGGTAAAAACCATACACAAGCCATGATGAAGCTACTGCACTCCAGCCTGGGTGACAGAGCGAGACCCTATCTCAAAAAAAAAAAAAAAGTCCCCACTCAAACCAATCTGCTACTAATATTTCTGTGCTACAGTCCTACTCTACTTCTCCACAATATGTCGGCCAATTCTGAATTCTGGAATTCTGGTGATAATTACCAAAGCATTTGTCTCACTAGCACATATGAAAGTACTTCTTGAAGATGGAAAAAAATTATTTTTACAAGAATAGTTTATGCATAACAGTTTTGTTTTGTTTTTCTTTAATCTAGAACAAACAGTGACCTGCAGGCCCTTTGCTAGTTTGAGTAAGTCTCCCATCACCCCCAGATGGGACCATCTAGTTCCAGGAAAATAGCTCAGGGCTCCCACTGATTCTACATTATGGTGAGTTGTGTAATTATTTTATTATATATTCCAATGTAATAATTACAGAGATAAAGTGTGCAATAAGTGTAATGTGCTTGAATCATTTTAATCATCCCCAAACCGTCTCCTGCTGCACTCCCTCTCCCCCCTGCCACTCTGTGAAAAATTGTCTTCCATGAAACCAGTCCCTGGTGCCAACATGTTTAGGGGCTGCTGCTCTAAGAGGGGAAGCAGAGGAAAGAGAACCAGCTTTAGAGCCTGAGGAGTAAGATGGGGTTGAGGTTTAGATAGGAGGATGTGTATAACCAGAGCCTTCAGAAAGGTAAGTTGAGATCCATTCAGGAAGTGCAGAGTTCGTCCTTCATCCTTGAGGAAATAGGAATGCATCCATAAGAGGTATTAAGAAGAGGAATAATGTGATCTGATTTTTATTTTAGTAAGGTAACTTGGCAGCCACATGGATTGCCTGGTTCAGTGACAGTGAGAGCAGATGGTGAGATCAAAACTGTCTACCTTAGATAGACTTTTGCTATAAAGGCCCAAGCAAGAGAGGATGAGGGTGTGAACTTGGGAGTTTGTGAGGATGAAGAAGAGAAAATAGAATCTATTCAAAGATTTGGAGGTAGACTTTGAGCGGTAAGAGAACATGAGATGTGCAAATGATTTTAAGGTTTCAAGGTGCCATTAAGGTAAATGGGAGTATAAAAGAAGAACTAAGAGATCAAGATAATTAGGCAGGTTGGGAACATAATGAATTTGAAACATCTATGGACAATCTAGAAACAAATATATATTCAGTAACTGGAAATATATGAACTATTAATATTAAAAACGATGACAAATGAGACACGCAATAAATACTTGTTAAATAACATACCATGCTAAAACAGACCTTTCATTTCCAACTATTTCTTTGGAAAATACAGTTTTGTATAAGCCAAGAATTTTTCAACAGTATTAGGTATTGAATTAACTATAAGCATCATAATACACTAAAACGCTTTTCCATCAAAAAATTTATTCACTTTTTTTTCTCTTTTATTTTGAGACAAGGCCTCACTCTGCCACACAGACTAGAGTGCAGTGGAACAATCATAGTTCACTGCAGCCTCAACCTCCTGGTTTCAAGCAGTCCTCCCACCTCTGCCTCGCAATGTGCTGGCATTACAGGCATGAGCCATCACATCCAGCACTATATTTAAAAAGCTATAATTATGCAAAATTACAACTACTTTTTTAAACCTATACATGCAGGCTGGGTGAGGTGGTTCACACCTGTAATCCCAGCACTTTAAGAGTCTGAGGGGGGAGGACTGCTCAAGCCCAGGGATAGAGTAAATCATGATTGTATCACTATACTTCAGCCTGGGTAATAAAGGGAGACCCTGTCACTAAAAAAAAAAAAAAGAAAAGAAAAGAAAAGAAAGAAAGGAAGAACAGAAAACAAATGCAAGAGAATTTTTCAATTATAAATCAAGATATTTCATACTATCCACATTATCTTGCACATTTAATTAAGTACATATTCACAATGTGTTCACTAATATAATGGCTCTCAGTTAAAAATAGGCAAAGTAAATAAAACTATCTTATCACTTACTTTGTATGCTAAGTCATACAAATTTAATTGCTGATAAAAGCTATAAAATTTCAGTACAGTCAATAGAAGTTTGATTGCTAATGTGCCTAAAGTAAGAGTCAGAAATCATAGGTCTGTTCCTGCATTTATTCTCTCCCTATCTAAGATCAAATTACATAAGTACATAATTCATCATGTGTTCACAGATACGAGTATATTAGTCTTCCACAAAGACAAAGCTATTACTTAATCTTCTCTGCATATATAATAAAGCCAATTTAGTTTGTGATAAATGGCAATAACATTTCAGAGGTAAGTAATAAATGAGTGGAAAGAATCTAAACCAAGGAATCTGTAACCTTGGCTTCATTCCCAATTCCTATAAACAAGTTACTAAGGGACCTTGAAAGATCTAACGGGCTATTCCTTACTATTGTAACTTACTTGCAAACAATGTTAAAACAGGGAGAATGTTATGCCTATTGTACCTTTCCTGAATGTTGTTTGAAGACAACATAGATTTTCAGGACTAGAAAAAAACAGTCTCAAAGAACCACTGAATCCCATCTCTAACATTATTAGCATATGATCCTCTGTGGTTTTCTGCCACAAACTGAGTGAGAACTCCAGGGGAAAAAAAATGGTTTGTGGCTGGGCGTGGTGGCTCACACCTATAATCCCAGCACTTTGGGAAGCTGAGGCGGTGGATCACGAAGTCAAGAGATCGAGACCATCCTGGTCAACAAGGTGAAACCCCGTCTCTACTAAAAATACAAAAATTAGCTGGGCATGGTGGTGCACGCCTGTAGTCCCAGCCACGCAGGAGGCTGAGGCAGGAGAATTGCCTGAACCCAGGAGGCGGAGGTTGCGGTGAGCCGAGATCGCGCCATTGCACTCCAGCCTGGCTAACAAGAGTGAAACTCCGTCTCAAAACAAAAACCAAAAAAACAAGCAAACAAAAAAAAAGGTTTGTCTGTTTATTGAGGACTCAAGATTTTTCACCTATTAAATGTGGAAGTTGGACTTGACTATCTGAAAGCTTTCTTCAAGCTGTACAATTCTTCGGCTCTGACTGATTTGCATAAAAAAAATTGATTCTCATACATAACATGTAATTTACAGAATTCATTATTTTGCAATATATGCAGAAGGCATGTATGCACAGATACTCATTATGGTCAAGAGATCGAGATATATATGTATCTGTGCTTACATGCCTTCTGCATATATATTTATAATTTATTTATAATAATATATATGCAGAAAGCATGTATGCACAGATACTTATTATAGTATTTTATAATTATAGATCCAAACATCCACTTATGGCCGGTGTGGTGGTTCATGCCTGTAATCCCAGCACTTTGGGAGGCTAAGGCGGGTAGATCCCTTGAGGTCAGAAGTTAGAGACCGGTGTGGACAACATGGTGTTGCTGTCTCCACTAAAAATGCAAAAACTAGCCAGGCATGGTGATGCACATCTATAGTCCCAGCTACTCGGGAGGCTGAGGCAGGAGAATCCCTTAAACTCAGGAGGCAGAGGTTGCAATGAGCCAAGATCATGCCACTGCACTACAGCCTGGGTGACAGAGCAAGACCTTGTCTCAAAAAAAAAAAAGCTACTAGTTTATAACTCAATAGCTTTGTACATTCTTTGACTGCCCTTGTCTCATTATGGAGATAGAGAGAAATCTAAATGTAAATAAATAAGTGAATAAGGATCGGGCTTGGTGGCTCATGCCTGTAATCCCAGCACTTTGAGTCAGGTGGATCACAAGGTCAAGAGATCAAGACCATCCTGGTCAAAAATACAAAAAAATTAGCTGGGCATGGTGGCATATGCCTGTAATCCCAGCTACTCAGGAGGCTGAGGCAGGAGAATTGCCTGAACCCAGGAGGCGGAGGTTGCGGTGAGCCGAGATTGGGCCATTGCACTCCAGCCTGGGTAACAAGAGGGAAACTCCGTCTCAAAAAAAAGAAAAAAAGGAAAAAAAATGAATAAATATTCATCCAGAATGTTGGCACTAAGTATTCTAGGCATCTGTTTTCTAGAAGTTCATAAAACTTTAGTTTTATTTAACAGTGTTATTTACTATCAAGAAAAGTTGCCCAGCACTTTGTGAAGTGTCACGCGTATAAGATTTTTTTTTTTTTTTGAGATGGAGTTTTGCTCTTATTGCCCAGCCCGGAATGCAATGGCATGATCTCAACTCACTGCAACCTCCACCTCCTGGGTTCAAGCATTTCTCCTTCCTCAGCCTTCTAAGTAGCTGGGATTACAGGCATCCACCACCACATCCGGCTAATTTTTTGTAGTTTTTAGTAGAGATGGGGTTTCACCATGTTGGCCAGGCTGGTCTTGAACTCCTGACTTCAGGTGACTCACCCACCTTGACCTCCCAAAGTGCTGGGATTATAGGTGTGAGCCACTGCGCCTGGTCTCTGTGGTGGTTTTAAAATATGTCCACAAATTATTTGATATTCCTCATGTCAAATGATAGAGCCTGATTCCCCTCTCCGGGTATGGGCTGGATTTAGTGACTTGCTTCTAACAAATAGAATAAAATAGAATTGAGAGTATGTGCTATAGTCTGAATGTGTGCCCCCAAAATTCAAATGTGGAAGATTAATCACCATTGTTGTAGCATTAAGAAGTGGGGGATTTAGGAGGTAATGAAATCACCCTTGAATGGGATTAATGCACTTATAAAAGAGCCTTTGCCCTGAGTTTCCCCCTTTTCTCTCTTCCACCCTTCTACCATGTGAGGACACATAGCAACCAGGTGCTATATTTGAAGCAGAGAGACCCAGCCCTCACCAGACATGAAATCTGCCAGCACCTGGATTTTGGAATTCCCAGCCTCCAGAACTGTGAGAAGTAAATTTCTGTTATTTATAAATTACCCAGTCTAAGATATGTGACTTGTGGCTTCTGCCACCAGATCATCAAAGGCACTGCTGCTTCCTCCTTGCTAACTCTTTCTGAGATCACTTGTTTTGAGGCTAGCCAGATGCCATGTTGTAAGGACATTCAAGGAGCCGGTGGAGATGCCGTGTGGTGAGAAATGGAAGCCCCCTGCCACCTGCAAGGACTTGAGGCCTTCTGCAAACAGCCGTGTACGTGAGCCATGTGGAAGTGGCTAGATCTGGACTCAGAGAAGCTTTCAAATGCCTGCAGCCCCTGCCAACATCCTGAATGCTCCCCCTAGGAAACCCTGAATCAGAACCACTCAGCCAAGCTGCTCCAAAATTCCTGACCCACAGAAATTGTAAGAGAATGAATGTCTGTCGTTTTAAGTCACTAAGGTGTGGGGATAATTTTTTTATGTAGCAATAAATAAACAATACGTTTACCTATAAGCAATTCCCACTCGAGATAGGCCACTTTATTTTTGAAAAATGATTGACTATATAATGCAAGCATACACTTTTTTTTTTTTTTTTTTTTGAGACGGAGTTTTGCTGTTGTTACCCAGGCTGGAGTGCAATGGCACGATCTCGGCTCACTGCAACCTCTGCCTCCTGGGTTCAAGCAATTCTCCTGCCTCAGCCTCCCGAGTAGCTGGGACTACAGGCACGCGCCACCATGCCCAGCTAATTTTTGTATTTTTAGTAGAGACGGGGTTTCACCTTGTTGACCAGGATGGTCTCGATCTCTTGACCTCATGATCCACCCGCCTCGGCCTCCAAAAGTGCTGGGATTATAGGCGTGAGCCACCGCCCCCAGCCAGCATACACCTTTTTAGAACTAGACAGAACTTCTAAATAAAGTTTTACTCATACTTTGCAGAAACAGAAATTGAGACCTCCAGAGTTTGTCTTGCTCAAATCTGGTCATCTATCACTGTTCTTTATCTCAGCTAGAGACACAGGTCTCATCCTTAACACCTCCTGGCTCCTTCACGAATCCTATACCCAATTTATTACTTAATGCTATTTTTAATTACTTAATTCTATTAATCCTTTGCCTCTGCCTACCTCTTTTTGTTGTTGTTCTTAATGTTTTCTGGCCTCCAGCAATAGTCTCCTAATTGGTCTCATGTTGATTCATGAACCTACAACTGGTTCTCAATTCTGCATCCAGAGTTCATGTATTGAAATACAATTAGAATGATCTCGGCTCTCCGCCCATCTCCCTCACTCTCACTCTCCAGACACATTTGTTGACTTCCAACTGCTGGTCATTGGTTTGCACTTGTTCTCCGAGCTCAGGTCATTCTGGCCTTCTGTAACTCCTAGAATATAATGGTTCCACACCCAAGCCACTAGGACTTTGCATATGCAGTTCCTGCAGCCCCATTCACCTAGTTGACACCTACTTATCCTATAGACCTAAATCACAATTCAAGTCTGTGCTAACTTCCCTGGTACAATCTTCGGATTCCCTGGTACAACTTTTCTTTGTAGCACTAAATAGCAGTTACATTGTTAATGCTTGGATTTTCAAAATTGATGTCTGTCCTCTCTGATAGAATACAAGTTTATAAATGCAAGGACAATATACATTTCATTTGTGTGTTTTGGCACTTAGTACAGTGCTCAGGGCATTATAAAATGTCTGATAACTCTTTGTTAAGTGGATGGCCGGTGCAGTGGCTCAAGCCTGTAATCCCAGCACTTTGGGAGGCCGAGGTGAGTGGATCACGAGGTCAAGAGATCGAGACCATCCTGGTCAACATGGTGAAACCTGTCTCTACTAAAAATACAAAAATTAGCTGGGCATGGTGGCGCATGCCTGTAGTCCCAGCTACTCGGGAGGCTGAGACAGGAGAACTGCCTGAACCCAGGAGACGGAGGTTGCAGTGAGCCGAGATTGGGCCATTGCACTCCAGCCTGGGTAACGAGTGAAACTCCGTCTCAAAAAATAAAAGATAAAGTATAAATCCCTTTGGATTTTGAAAGGTGTTCTTCCCCCACTATGGAAATGATTTTGAAGGGTGGTTCAGTTCTGAGGCTGGCCTAGATATAGCTGAGCAATATACTCTGCAACCAGCAAGGCCTGTCTGTTCAGACCCTTCTTGCCCTTCCTGTAGAGAAATCCTTCCTGGATACAGGACAGACAAGGTAGGTCAGATCATATCTTTATGGCCAGCTCTTACGCAGAAAGTCGTGGGAGGTTAGAGGAATTTTTCCAGATTTTATGAGTGGCTTTGGTGGAGAGGGGTTCTGGTTTCTCTGAACAGCCTCAGGGAAAGGGAATTTAATGTCTATGGCTTGCCTTGCTGGAGAAATAGCATGGGAGACAGGAAGGCAGGGGAAGGTCAGAGACTGCTTCCAAAGCTGCTTCTGAGGCCTTCTAATTTCTGTTATTCCAAAGTGTTCAGCATGCCAAAGCACCACATTTTGGGGTATCATTTTCCTGTGTTGTTTTTTTAGGCAAAGAGCTAAACAGTGGTATTTCATGGGATATCATTTTCGAACCCCAATAGTTGACACAGGTTCAAGTGTGATTTAAATTTCAAAAGTCACTCAAACTACTCGTCTTCACATTCATTTCTTCATTCTTCACACAGGTAGTCCTCTAAGGTTATTCTGTAACATCCAATCCAACCCTCCCTTTGTTAGAGTTCTTTTATTCTCTGCTTTTTTTCTGGATTTCAAGATAAGATAACAAAAGTTTGCTATGTAAACAAAGGTTATCGACCATTTTTTCACACAGCAAACTTTTGTTAAGACCTGCAAAGGACCAAGCATCATGAAAGCACCAGGGTCAAGATACGTGCACATATGATTTCAATATACTCTTCATCAATTTAGTACATTTGTCTAACATACTGCAATTGCTAATGGATATACACATTGCTTACTTCTAAATCACATTTTAGATTATTTCTTTCTGAGCAAGTTCTTGTAGACCTAATCTGAAGTAAATTTATTCATTCTTTGACTTCAAATAGTATAACTTTGTCTGCTTTTTAACCATTTTTCTTTCCAAATATCCCAGTGAAAGCTGATCTAACATTGGGTCTACGGACCTTGGCACTGCCTGAATTCTCTTGAGGGCCAAGGGCCCTCCAGCGTCACAGACTGTCTGAGACTAAATAATTCATTTGTGCTACCCCAGGAGGGACACATGAATCACTTCGGTAAAGGTCAGAATCATCAAAAAAAAAAAAAAAAAAAGACCCAGACGACTCAGCATTTTGTATTATACATTGCACAAAAATAAAAATGCACTTGTCCTGTTTTTTGGGTTTTTTTTTCCAGGGCATAACAACAATTAGAAACCAGAAAATCTACTTTGACTGTAGGTCCTAGAATTATTCCTTATAGTTTTAATTATTCATAGTCTGTAAAATTATACTTGATATTTCTAGCTAAGTGTATTAGTCGGTTCTCACACTGTTACGAAGAAATACCCGAGACTGGGTAACATAAAGAAAAGAGGTTTAATTGACTTACAGCTCTGCATGGCTGGGGAGGCCTCAGGAAACTTACAATCATGGCATAAGTGGAAGCACACACATCTGTCTTCATATGATGGCAGAAAGGAGAAGTGCTGAGCAAAAGTGGGGAAAGCCCCTTATACAACCATCAGATCTTGTGAGAACTCACTCATTATCATGAGAACAGCAGTAGGAGGGTAACCATCCTCATGATTCAATTACCTCCCACAGGGTCTCTTCCACAAAACATGAGGATTATGGGGACTACAGTCCAAGATGAGATTTAGGGATACAGCCAAACCATATTGCTAAGTAGTCACCATTTTTCACCAGGTGACAATTTCTACCAAAAACCTATAATAAAACATTAAGCTAAAAAAAAGTGAATTCGCAGGGCACGGTGGCTCATGCCTGAAATCCCAGCACTTTAGGAGTCTCAAAAAAAAAAAAAAAAAGTGAATTCATCATTTCACAAACTATGCCTTAAAAGTTTTACAAAATTTTTACTCGTTTGTATATTAGAATCAAAGACTATGACAGAGAATTTGTATATTAGCAAAAGAAAAAGAAAATTATTAACATGCTTTTTAGAGTAAGAAATACATGGCTTGCAGTTTAAAACAATGTTAATGAATATGACACTACTCATCTCATCAAAGTAATGCTCTGGTTTTTACTTTTCCATAAAGCTGAGTCATATATTTTAAATAGAATGTCAAAATAATAACTTCCTTCAAATAATTTCCTTGTTTCCTTAAACAGAGAGGAAAAATGGTGTTAAAATTTAAGAGCTCCATGACATTCAATGCTTTGAAGAGTATGTTAAGGCAAGCTGTCTTTTTTTTTTTTTTTAAGAGATGGGACTTCACCATGTTGGCCAGGCTGGTCTCCAACTCCTGACCTAGGTGATCTGCCCATCTTGGCCTCCCAAATTGCTGGGATTACAGGAGTGAGCCACTGCGCCCAGCCTAGCAGGCTTTCTTATAGACTTTTATATACTCTGAATAGGAGTGTAAATTGGTACAAAATTCCTAAAAACCAATTTAGAATTATGTGTCAGGAGTATTAAATATATATATACACTTTGGTCATTTATCAATTTCTTAGAATCAGAACTAAAAACTAAGACCATGGGTTAACACAAACATACAAAGATGTTCAACATAGCATTCTATATAATCATGAAAACTTGAGAACATACTAAAAAAGAGTTAAATTGTTATACAGTGTATATCATAATATAATAAAAAATGTAATGTTTCTTATGCACAAGAAAAATTGCATTAAAAAATTATGTCATTACATGTAAAAATGCTTATAATGTACTGTTAAATTAAAATCAAGATACAGGCCGGGTGTAGTACCTGACACCTGTAATCTCAGCACTTTGCGAGGCCAAGGTGGCTGGATCACTTGAGATCACACCTAGAATTTCAAGACCAGCCTGCCCAACATGGTGAAACCCTGTCTTTACTGAAAATAAAAAATTACTCAGGTGTGGTAGCATGTGTCTTAGTCCTAGCTACTCAAGAGGCTGAGGTGGGTAGATCACCTGAGGTTGGGAGTTCTAGACCAGCCTGACCAACATGAAGAAACCCCATTTCTACTAAAAATACAAAATTAGCCAGGCGTGGTGGTGCATGCCTGTAATCCCAGCTATTCGGGAGGCTGAGGCAGGAGAATCGCTTGAACCGGGGAGGCAGAGGTTGCAGTGAGCTGAGATCAAGCCATTGCACTCCAGCCTGGGCAACAAGACTGAAACTTGGTCTCAAAAAAATTAATTGTTTTATTTTTTTTGAGACAGTCTTGCTCTGTCACCAGGTGCCAGACTGGAGTGCAGTGGCATGATCTAGGCTCACTGCAACCTCCACCTCCCAGGTTCAAGCAATTCTCCTGCCTCAGCCTCCTGAGTAGCTGGGACTACAGGTGTGTGGCACCATGCCAGTTAATTTTTGTATTTTCAGTAGAGATGGGGTTTCACCATGTCCAGGATGGTCTCGATCTCTTGACCTCGTGATCCACCCGGCTTGGCCTCCCAAAGTGCTGGGATTACAGGCATGAGCCACGGTGCCCAGCCTAAAAATTTTTTTTAAAAAGAGGCTGAGGTGGGAGAATCACTTGAACCTGGGAGGCAGAGGTTGCAGTGGGCTGAGATCATACCACTGCACTCTAGCCTGGGTGACAGAGTGATACACCATCTCAAAAAATATATAAAATAAAAAATAAATATAAATAAAATAAAGATACAAAACACTACATGCAATATAATCTCAATTTCAACACATTATTGTGTTTACGTGTCTATTAAAAAGTTGCCTTCTTATTCACCTGGATCATCCCCCCCACACACAAAAAAAGTTGCCTTCTTAGTAATTTAGAAGAGATATTTTTATTTTTTAGATAAAGTCTTTGTCTGATAAAAATTTTGTGAGGATTTTTTTTCCTAGTTGTGGTTTGCCATTTTATTTTCTTGTATTTCTTTATTTTTTATTAAAAAAAGAATAGAGATGGGGTTTCCCCATGTTGGCCAGGCTGGTCTCAAACTCCTGACCTCAGGTGATCTGCCCACCTGGACCTCCCAAAGTGCTGAAATTACAGGTGTGAGCCACCGCGCCTGGCCTGCTGTTTCATTTTCATACCAGTGTCTTTTGAAAAGCAAATATTTTTTATTTTGGTGAAGTGAAATTTATTTTTTATTTTTTATTTTATGATTTTTTATGAACTCTTTAACAAAGTAAACATCTATAAAATTTTCTTCTAAGACCAGGCATGGTGGCTCATGCCTGTAATACCAGCATTTTGGAAGGCCAAGGCAGGCAGATCACTTGAGCCCAGGAGTTCGAGACCAGCCTGGGCAACATGGAGAAATCTTGTCTCTACAAAAAATACAAAAATTAGCCCGGAGTGGTGGCACGTGCCTGTAGTCCCAGCTACTCAGGAGGCTGACATGGGACAACCACTTCAGCCCGAGAGGGGGCAGTTGCAGTGAGCCCAGCTCTTGCCACTGCACTCCAACTTGCACAACAGAGTAATACCTTGTTTAAAAAACAAAAAAAACCCACACCTTTTTTCTCCTATATATTTCTTCTGGATCTAATAGTTTTGACTTCTACAATGAGGTGTGTAATGCACTTTGCTTTTTTTTTTTTGAGATAAAGTCTCCCTCTGTCGCATAGGCTGGAGTACAGTGGCACGATCTCAGCTCACTGTAACCTCTGCCCCCAGGTTGAAGAGATTACAGGCACACGTCACCACATCTAGCTAATTTTTGTATTTTTGGTAGAGATGCGATTTCACCATGTTGGCCAAGCTGGTCTCTAACTCTTGACCTCGTGATCCACCCACTTTGGCCTCCCAAAGTGCTGGGATTACAGGTCCGAGCCACCACACCCTGCCTGTAACGCATTTCACATTAATTTTTTGCATATCATGTGAATCAAGTGTTGAGAATCATGGGGGGTGAGTAATGACTAATTTTTCTGGCAATATTTATTGAAAATATTTTTCCCCCTTTTAACTGACTTGGTACATTTCTGGAAAACCAGTTGGGTCTATTTCTGGACTCTGTCTTCCATTCTTCTGATCTAAATGTCTCGTTTATGTCAATTCCCCACACCTTCGATACTGTTATAATAATTTTGAATATAATCATTTTGAAACCAGATAGTATGTGTCTATCAACTGTTCTTTCAAATGTGTTTTGACTATTCCAGGTACTTTGCATTTTTATACGAATTTTGGAATCAGCTTTTAAATAACTACAGAAAAAATGCATGCTAAGATTTCTGTTGGGATTTTATGAATTTATAGGTCAATTGGGAAGATCTGATGTTTGAACACTACTGACTCTTCTATTCATTAACATGCTGCATGTCTCCATTACCATGTCTTTTCTAATTTTTCTCAGCAATGTTGTCGTTTTCCAAGTTTATCCCCTATTATTTTCTATTTTCATGTTATTGTAAATGCTTTCTAAATCGTCAAGTTTAGTTTGTTCATCACTAGTAGGTAGGAATAGAACTAGTTTTTGCATATTGACCTTGTATTCTACAGCGTCACTAAACTCAGTTATTAGTCCTAGTAGCTTTTTCTGTAATTCCATAGGATATTCTTTTTTTTTTTTTTTGAGATGGAGTTTCACTCTTGTTACCCAGGCTGGAGTGCAATAGTGCCATCTCAGCTCACCGCAACCTCCGCCTCCTGGGTTCAAGCAATTCTCCTGCCTCAGCCTGTAGCTGGGATTACAGCTACGCGCCCCCATGCCCAGCTAATTTTTTGTATTTTTAGTAGAAACGGGGTTTCACCATGTTGACCAGGATGGTCTTGATCTCTTGACCTCGTGATCCACCCGCCTCAGCCTCCCAAAGTGCAGGGATTACAGGCGTGAGCCACTGCGCCCAGCCCCTTCCATAGGATATTCTTTAGGTGATCATATTATCTGCAAATAAAGACAGTTTTACTTCTTTCTTTCCAATCCTATGTCTTTTATTTCATTTTCTCGCTTTGCTGCACACCCTAAGATATCAGGCACAATCTCAAATAGAGGTAGTAAGAGTGGATGTCCTTTGTTCATTCCCAACGTCAGGGGAAAATCATCAGGTCTTTACCATTAAATATGAAGTTAGCTGCAGGTTTTCCAAGGTGCCTTAGTCCCTTTTGTGCTACTATAACAAAATACCCGAGACTGGGTAATATGTAAAAAACAGAAATCAGAAATGTGTTTTCTTTTTTTTTTGAGATGACGTCTCACTCTGTCACCCAGGCTGGTGTGCAGTGGTATGTTGCCGGCTCACTGCAATC